TCAAAGATGTATTATTCACAGAGAGAGCTTAAATACTACCAAACTTATAGAGCAACTGCAATTGAGTTTGAATAAATTCTGATTCCTGACCTTGGGAGAGTCACAATCTATTTTAAATAAACATAATAAAAGGTATGGCACAACTTGAGTTGGAAGAGGTCACTGAGAGCTGGTTGAGGCCAGGCAATCAGAGGCTCCTGCCACCTCCCCACCTGGGGGCTGTGCGTTCTGCCCACGATTCCCACACACTGGGAGCTGTTTCAAGGAGATAGACTTGAGAGAACAAGACGGGGTTGAGACCATCTGGACTGCACATGGGACTGAACCCCATCAAGGCCTCTCTGTACCCTTTGAAGATTCTGGTGGGTGGGTGCAGAGATCTCCTCCTCTCGCGGCCACCCATGACAAGCCTCGTAGATAAGCTCCCTTGCTTATTAAAGCTGCCATCTACCCTTCTGCAGTGGGCGGCCCCTTCAGTCTCTCCTCGCCTCCCGAGTCCCGAGTCCAGCTTCAGATTTCAGCCTCCAGTTTCAGATTTCAGCCAGGGAACTCTGGAGGCTGTCAGTGACAGGGAGCTGCAGGCCTGCAGATAATTTACTAACTACTTTTCTCTTATGTATAATTTTTCTATAAAATTTGAATAAAATCTAAAAACTAATGAGCAAATATTCTTTTTCTTCATAAAATAACACCCTGTTCTTCAAGTTTACTGTCAGATACAAAGTTTTGTGTATTTTTTTTAACTATATCTTTATTGATTTACTGTCAGATACAAAGTTTTGTGTGTTTTTTTTAACTATATCTTTATTGATTTCAGAGAGAGAAAAGGAGAGGGAGAGAGAGAGACAGAAACATCAATGATGAGAGAGTCATTGATTGAGCCCACAACCCGGGCATGTGCCCTGACTGGGAATCGAACCCCGATCACCTGGATCCCAGGTCGACGCTCAAACACTGAGCCACTCCCGTCCGGGCCAAAGCTCTTTTTTTTTGTCTTGAGAGGATAAGAGACCTTGAAGTTGGCTTTCCCATCGGTGTTCTTCCTATAATTACTTCTTCCTCTTTTGTTGAGCAGCATTAGAGCCGATGGGCGAAGCAAGTGCAAGTGGGAATGTGAGAGTACAGGGGCCAGTCACTCTTCCTTCGTTTACATTGACATTAACAAAGGTGACAATGATAATGATGCTGAAAGAATTAGCTTGTATTTACTGCTCAGCATGGCCCAAGTGCCCTGTTCTACATATGTGATTTCATTTTATACTTATAACAATCCAGAATCTCTTAGAATCCGGGGGAGTGTTTTCATTATTTTCTGTTTTATGAGTAAGAAACCTAGAGTTGACTTAATTTTCCCAGGATCACAGAGGTAGATCTAAATAGCCAGAGTAAGATTTGAACTCTAATACTGCAATTTAGAACCGAATTTTTTAATGATATAGCTGTAACATATGGGGTGGGGCAGAAGTAGGTTTACAGTTGTGAGTATGCGAAACACAGAGTTTACTCACGAGAACCTTTTACTTCCTTATGTCACACATAGACTGCTTGGGCCTATATTAATTTTCATTCTTGCTTTAGTCTACCTTCAAAATTTGGTTTAATTATCATCACCTCTTGTGTAATTTCCCTGATGCTGTAATGTTTGCTTGTTTTCTGCTCCCATGACTACCTGGCTCTATGACTTTCACAGCATCCTTAACATTATTCTGTAATCAATTACTAGTTGTATGGTGTCCTGCATTACATTTCAAATTCCTTAAGAGCAATAATTATGTGTACTTTTACTTTGTATACCCAATTTCTAGGGAATGTTTTAAATACACATAGAATGTATCCAATAAATTTTAACAAATCCAGGGATTAAGTAAACTTCTAGAATTACTTGGGATCATAACAGTATTGTTGATCACTATGTTCCCAGTTCCAAACATGATGTCTGGTACCTACAGAAGCTTAATAAATACTCATGGGACAAATTTTTAAACGAGTGAACTAGAACAGATAGCTTATTTCAAAGGAAGTAGTATCTATAACAAAATACTTTTTTAAAGGAGTCTTTCAATAGCATGCAAGCTAAAATGAAACCCACTCTAAGTAACATTTTTAATCACCTTAACCATTAGAAAAGAGCGTGTCTACATTATGCTCCTGAAGATAAGAGTAAATGCATGTGCGTCTAGTAATTATCTAACTCATGTATTAAGCACTGAGCTCAAGTCAACCACGTTGGAGGCATCTGGACTTGGAGTCAGCTGGATCTCCTACTGTGGATACGGAAATTTCCAAAACACACTGAATAGGCACACGTCTTAGTTGTAATCATTAACAACTAACTCTGAAGATCTTAATGTAATTTAATTTTATTTAAATTATATAGGAGTTCTTAGACTCTGGGGGAGTGTTGAGATAGATTGTAATACCGAGGGATTATGGGACGTCTGAAGGTTCAGTCAGCAGACACCAGAGCAAGTATATCATAGTGCAAGAGCAGGCAGAGTTTTTGCTACTGCTACTGATGGCCATGAATCTGACTGCTAACTTTTCTCAGGCTTTGTCTCACACGTTTATCACTAAACACATCTCTGACCTGCACGAGGACAGTGAGATGGAGAATCTGGCTTCTCTAAGAGTGAGTGGCTGCCATTCCCCCCACTCATGCTCCAAGGGAGATCAGGGAAGAGGGTGCTGGACACTAAACAGCCAAAAAGAGAAATATATCCACCACAGATGATGACTACATGGTGGTATCCGTCAATGAGACAATCTTATCTTTTCAAACCTCAAGTCTAGTTGAAATGTCAGGAAAAAATAATGGTGTTTCAAAAAAGGGACCCAACTGCGTTCATAAAACAATAGTGGGACACATGTCGACAATATGATGTGTTTCCTTTTTGGATTTGATGGGAACATCAAAGATGGGAGTGTGAGAATGCAAGGGCAAATTTTTACAAAATGTAAGACTCAGGTAACTAAAATACCCAAATCTTTTGAGGTCAATATTTGACATACCTCCTACTACTAAATATAATTGTGTCTCTTTTAGGCACAGAAGCTTAGTCAAATTAGGCATTTTTAAAAGATTGTTAAAAGAAAAAAGGGAAATATTTAAGAGAGGCACTGAGGAGGACTGGATTTCCTAGGTGTGTGCGGTGGGAGTGGCAGTTCTCTCCATTGTTCATGTTGCCTCCATTGTTCCAGGATGGCTACAGGCATTTAACTTAATTTCCCATATACTTTTTTTTTTTTTTAATATATCTTTATTGATTTCAGAGAGAGGAAAGGAGAGGGAGAGAGAGAGACAGAAACATCAATGATGAGAGAGTCATTGATCAGCTGCCTCCTGCACGCCCCTGACTGGGGATCGAGCCCCCAACCCGGGCATGTGCCCTGACCGGGAATCGAACCCCAATCGCCTGGATCCTAGGTCGATGCTCAACCGCTGAGCCACGCCCGGCCGGGCCCCATATACATCTTGTATGTAACAATCTGCAAGAAGACAGAGCAGAGGGAAAAGAAAATATTTTTCTAATTCTTTTTTCTTTCTGTAGAGCATTTTTATCTGTTTAAGAAACTGAATCCAGAACCTGTGGTTTGTGGAATTCTTTGGTGCATTTGGAATGAAAGAAAAAGAGGTGAAATCTAGTGTACAGCCAAAATATTTTTTTACATGAATAATACATGGGGAAAAACATGGTAAATGGGCAAAGCAAGTAACTATCAAAAGAAATGTGTCTAAATTATTTCAGACCCCATAGGAGATATCACCAAAGATTATGAGAATGATAACATACTTGAAGAGCACATATGAATGGGCTATGGAATCTACCAAATTCTTAAATACATTTAACTTCTAATTTCTGATAGTGAAAATGACTGGCAAAATTTCAAGGGGGATTTGTTTTTTTGGTATATCTTCAGTTATTAGACCAAGGCTAATAATATATATAGCAAAAAAGTTCTTATGGTTACAGTGTCAGATTGGTGTAGGGGTATTACCATATAATAGTGCTAATAGAGGTAAGCAAAAAAAATGACTTCTGTCAGTGTCTAGGGCTTGTATCACTTTGACAGTGTTTCATGGTGATTTCTGAAGTCCTTGCTAAATTTCATGCTAAATAGAGAAGGTCTGTGATATGATATGCCTAGAGTGGCTAGCAAATTGATGAGTTTATTTTTGACATAATTAAATTAATACAATGGGTTCCTTGAGATCTTAGGTGTCTGATGTTGGTGAAATTATACTCTAGATAAGTGGTCATTATGTATAGATAGACAAACTATACAGTACTATTCAGAGCATATTAGATTTAGACCAAGCGTGTTTATTGATTTTAAAGTTTATCTTATCACATGGTGGATTCTGTGAAATGTGCACCAAAATAACATCTTACAATCTGGTATAAACAACCTATGTTGTCATCTCAGGAGGTTGGAATTGGATGTATGTAGGTGGAAATAATAATTTTATCTGTATTATCTTTTCATTAATACTTTATAAATGTAACTTCTAACAGTATTTCTTAAAATTTATAAACTAACAAAATGTTATTTTAATTTCAGCATTCTTTTGCATTTGATGCTGATTATATTTATTTGAAGACAATGGTCATCATCATACCACTGGAATTTAAAGGAAAATAATTTTTTTAGCAAGTTTATTGAGCCTGAAATATTTTATCTATATTCAGTTTATCAGATCACCTCATTTTTCAAGCCGTGGGAGGAAATACTATTCTTGCTTCTTTATTTGTAAACCAATGATACTTCTTTTTGAGCAAAAAACTGATTAGTAGTTATTCTTATTTGGTGGTTGGATGTAAGAGTGCTTTTATGTTAAAAAATAAACAACCACCTCCAAAAAAAAAAAGAAAAAGAAAGAAAGAAAGAAAGAAAGAAAGAAAGAAAGAAAGAAAGAAAGAAAGAAAGAAAGAAAGAAATTAGAGCACTATTCTAAGTTCAGTGCAGTATTAGCCAATAATAGATTTTTCTTTTGCCTTTAGGTAGCTTCTGATCCTAGTCTCAATCCTTACTTGAACTCAGTTGATAGCTGTGTGCAGACATCAGTAACCCTGGATCGGAGGATTGCAAAGATTCACAGAGAGTAACAGTCATAGTCCAAGACAAGTAACTGAAACAGATGCCAAGAAGGCAGCGTGACTTTCTCTACCAAAGGTATGTCAGTGTTCTGTTTTTGTTTTTGTCTTTGTTTCTCATTTTAAGAAGAGTTCTGATGGAAAAATGTATAAACAACTTGGTTTCAGAGGCGATAGTTTGTTATTTTATTTTTTTCAGTATGGTTAGCTTTTATTACAGGTTTACTGCTCAAGGCCTAGCTGCTTTCTTTTTTTTCTTTTTAATTTATCTTTATTGTTGAAAGTATTACAGATGTCTCCCCTTTTCCTCCACTGATCCCATCCACTCCACATCTGCCCCACCCCCAGGCCTTCCCCATACCAATGCTATGCCCCTGGGACATGAAAAGGGACTTTTGATAAGACAATAAATGTGATGACTGAGAGTGGATATATAAAGAAGAATCATGTACAGATATTTCTCTAACACAAGAGATATACAAAAAATATTTTACATGTTGATAAGGCAACTTACATTCCCAGTGACCAACTATTACTAAAGTCCAATCATTTCTTACCCTTAATTTCTCTTACCTAACAGTGGCAGGTGTCCTCATGCAAAGCAAATGAATGGAAGCTCTTTCCTAAATCATATATATGCTGCTAAGTAGTGATTCAAAGTGCAACAACTATCACATCAGTGGATTTTAAGATATTTTATTTTAACTTTAAAAGGTAATGGAATTTCTGTATTTTCTGTGGCAAATTAACAATACCATATACCACCTTGAGTGCATATTGATTATATCACTTTATAAAATCTTCTGCCTGAGGTTTAAGTTACTGACTTTAGAATCTTATTGGTCTGATAATTGCATTTCAGTCTGCTTTGGGAAACCATGCCTGGATTAATTGAGTCATTATAGTTAAAGTTGGTAATAAACAATAATAGGAAATATTTGTTTCTTTAAGTGCTGTTATTGCCTTTAACCATTTTGAATTATTAAACCATCCAAATCAATACTGCTCACTTATTTTTAATGATGAGCTCAATGACATAAAAGTAAACAGTTTTAAGAAATGACTTTCTTTTTGAAGCCCAGTGCATGTTGCTATGTATGCAGAGGGCAGAGTGAACTTGTAGCAGCTTTTGGCAGTTCGAAAATTATTGTTAATTAACTTTTCTGCTCAAATTCCTGCAAGCTCAACTGTAGTTGATGAGTAATCATGCCACAGCCAATAAATCCTTAAGTAATTTCATAAACATAGTTATTTAACCTAAATTGGATTCTCCATCAATTGAGACAAATCAATTTTTAAATGCCATATTATTGTTTTAATAATACTGCTTTATGCTTATATTGGTTTACACTTAAAGAACTTAGCATTTCTACATTCTAATATTTCCACAGGGAAAGTACTAAAATAGAAATATAATTAATAGTAATATGTATAAAACATATACTTAAAATATATTTATTTGCCAAATCTGATATGTAGAAAAGATATGCCATGGTTTTTGATGCAAAGAAGAGACCTGTGAAGCAGAAGCTCTCAGCTGTACTTTCAGCTTTATCACCTATAATTTGAATGATCTCCAACAAGGCACAAAATTTCCTGAGACTCAGTTTATGCCTTGGCAAATGGAAATGAGGCACCAAATTCTTGTAAAGATATAAAGTTAATGTATCAGCAATGCCTCATAAAGTATTTTACAAACACAGAGGATTACTTTTGTCTGTTTTTCATTAATTCAAGTTTGTTAAATTCACATTCTATATTTCTGTACAGGTATATTTTGTATGATGGAAATGGCTTCAAATTTGTTTCCAAAATTATTATGAATTTTATATATATTTCTTAATTTAAAATTCAATATGATTTGCTTCACAGGGTCCTACACTGATAAATAAGAGGGATAAACTGATCTCTTAGATAGTAAAATATGCAAAGGAGATGCCAAGTTAGATCAGACACATTCTGGGTTAAAACTGGGATATTTGATTTTGAAAGAATTCCAGGAGCGGTGACACATTTCTTATTAGTTTAATCAACATGTAAACAAGCTTTTGGTTAAAGGAATATGTGCTTGAAATACATGTTACATCAAGATAAAGAGAGTAAAATTCTACTGAAAGCCTATTTTACTACTTTTCTGGGGAAAAAAATGAAATGAGGATGGAAGCGAGATGGATTTGTTTTATTTCTCGATAGCTATTGTGCTAAGCAAGACTAAACGATTCCTTCCTTCCTTCCTTCCTTCCTTCCTTCCTTCCTTCCTTCCTTCCTTCCTTCCTTCCTTCCTTCCTTCCTTCCTTCCTTCAGCTCTGTATGACTGTGGGCCATATGGTCATGGCTAGGTGCTGACTCAGCAAGGGTAGGAAAGCTTGGTTCTGGTTTTAGACGCTCCCACTGCAGTGGGGGATGATGACAACAATGTGCCGCAATAGACACATGTGTAAAGTGTTAAAAACATCAAAGGGAGATGTAATCGAGAATGTTGGGAAGCCTTCCCACAGGAGAGCTAATCAGAGCCAGTGTTCGTTGAACAGTTTGATATAACTTCTTCTACTTTTATTCTCACATTTTATTTCAGTGAAAGAGATTTCAGCATTACACTTTATCTAAATCCATATTACTATTTTCAATACTCTGCCTACATTATCTCACAGAATTTTAGGTGATGCAAAGATCCTCTCCTTTCCTATTATCACTTTACAGAGAGTTACACAGATACCACAGAGCCAGAGGGCTTTCTGACTTTAGTCCAGGGTGGGTCTCTTCACACATCTATTTTCAGATTATGTTCTTAATTCCATTTAAATTCAGAAAGCATATGAAAGTCCTAGATGTAGATAATTTGTGTTTTTACTTGTATCTTCATTACTTGTATCTAGCCTCAAGTTTACTCTTGGTACCCCTTAGTTGATGAGGGGTATCCAGAGAGAGAGAGAGAGATGGGGAGTGGCAAGGGATGGGGA